AATTTATGGGGTGCTAAGGACTAAGCTCAGGGGCTCTTGCTTGCTAGGTGAACAAACTACTAATGGAATTACATTTTCAGCTGGGTTTTCATTTTTTTTAAATCGTGTTGTAAGTGTGTCTGTCGGTGTGAATGCAAGCTACATGTGTGGGTGCTAGTGTTGAGTGTCTAATCCCCTGGAATTGGAGTTACAGGTGGTTGTGAGTCACCTGCTACAGGTGCTTATAAGTTATTTAGTTTGAGGTCTCACTATGTAGCCTAAGATGGTCTTGAACTCACAGCAGTTTCTCCTGCTTCGAGCTTCTGAGTTCTGGGAGTATAGGTGTGTACCATCATGCCTGGTCTGTGTGTGTGTGTGTGTGTGTATACTATGAGTTGTTTTCTCACTGCCTGTGCCAGGCTAACTGGCCTGTAAACTTGCAAGGATTCTCTTGTATCTCTCCCCCACCTTCTTTAGGAGCACCAGGATTACAGATGCTTGTTTTTATGTAGGTCCTGGGGGTTTAAACTCAGGCCTCATGCTTGCATGACAAGCATGTTTGTTTACTCACTGAGCCACTTCTAACTCTTTTTTTTTGGTTTGTTTGTTTGTTTTTACCAGACACGGTTTCAATGTATTGTTTTGGAGGCTGTCGGTCCAGCCCGGCCTCGAACTCACAGAGATCTGCCTGCCTCTGCCTCCCGAGTGCTGGGATTAAAGGCGTGCACCACCACCGCCCGGCTGCCACTTCTAACTCTTGACTAGGGGAAGTTCACTATATGTTGATGGATACTGGAAGATGGTAGTTATGAATTACTACTCATGACTGTAATCATCCTGGGGCTGAGACACAGGGTACTGGGGTTCAGTGGTGGCTCCAGAAGTTTTATGAACTAGGGGTTCAGTGTTAGCTCTCTGGTTGAAAGGGGAACTTGATTCTACATTCACAGAGCACATCCTGTCAGCACATTCATGGACAGGTTGGAGGGATGGTTTGGTGGTTAAGAGCATGGGCTGTTTTTACAGAGAACTGGGACTCAAGTCCTAGAACCTACATGGTGGCTGACCAGTCTATAACACCAGTCTCTAGGGGATCCAATGCCATCTTCTGACTTCCAGGCACTAGGCAGGAATGTGATATACAGACACACATACAGGCAAAGTACCCATACATGGAAAATAAAAACAAATACATATATTTTTCCTTTTTCTGAGACAGGGTTTCTCTGTATAGCCCTGACTTGTCTTGGAACTCATTCTGTAGACCAGGCTGGCCTCAAACTCAGTGATCCACCTGCCTCTGACTCCTGAGTGCTGGTATTAAAGGCGTGTGCCACCACCTCCCAGCAAAAATAAACAAATCTTAAACAAACAGAAACAAAAAATGGAAAGAGCTGATGGCTATGGATTGCAGAGTGGGTCAGGCAGAAACCCCTTAAGACGATTCTTGGCTTCAAGCTTTTGTTTCACCCACTTTAGGCAAGTCACCCTCTTGACCTGAGAGACCTTTTGTAGGATGGGACTGAGTTTCTAGTATGAGTGTTTGTGTGTGAGAGTGTGTGCATTGCTGAATGAGGCTAGGAGATAGGAGGGGGTGAGCCCATAGCTTTGTGGGGATGGGTGGGATCTTGGAGCCTTTCATATTTTGGGTACAAGAAGGTGTTAAGAAATGGGGAGAGTGCTTTTCTGCCCAGGACTGTGGCCTCCTGATGAAGACTGTTGGGAGCCTTTAATAATATTACTATTATTATCATAGCAACTGATATTTACTGGCTGCTTGAGTATACCAGACATGGCTCTACGAATTATATGCATAATTTAATTTACTTGTTATAACTCCTTGAGAATAGATTCTATTATCTCCGATTTACAAAAAGAGGTGACCTTAAAGCTTGTCAGTGATGCACTCGTCTGCCTCTGAGACCCATCTCTGGGAGCCCCTACTCTAAACTGCTCTTGATAGGGTGTGAGGGGAGTCGCAATAGTTTCTCTACCTATCTCCACAAGCTTCGTCAAACCCTAGCTTGAATCAACCAACAGTCCTGGATTTAGATTCTGGCCTGTGTATGTGTCATTTATGTGTGATGAATGAAGACAGTGTGGGGGAGGGGGAGACCTAGCCATGACTCTGTTAGGGGCTCTGCTTGCTTCATTTACTGTTTTATCATAGGACTTGCTACATAGTAATTGGTCAACAAGTATTTGTGGAAGAAATACATGAATGTATACATGGAATGGTGGTGGTGGTGGGGGCTGGGCTCCTTAACTACCTCAGGCTCTGAAGGTTGAGGATGAGCCTGTGGGGATCAGGAGCAGCTCCAGAGAAGGGTTTAGGGGTCCCTCTGCTTTTATGACTTCTTATCCACCAGGCCTCTGTTCTTTTGGGTAAAGGACTGTCTGGTATGAGAACATGGAAGAAAAATAATGGAGAGCCTCTTCATCTGTGCAATGGTTCAAGAAATTCCAGTCTTATCGAGAGGCGAAGGGAGGCTAAGTGAGGTCCAGGGATAGATGTGGGTGGTGGTGGTGTGTCTACATATGTGTGTGTGTGTGTGTGTGTGTGTGTGTGTGTAAGTTAATGTGGGCGGTGGTGGTGTGTGTACATATGTGTGTGTGTTTAAGTTAATGTGGGTGGTGGTGGTGGTGGTGGTGTGTGTGTGTGTGTGTGTTAAGAGATGAGGTCAGAGTCTCTAACACAGGGCAGGCCAGACTGATGACCGCCAGTGCCCTGGACCAATCCCTAGGGACTGGGGATCTGGCTGGCAAAAGGAAGGGCAAAGGGAAGAAGCCCCTGGAGGAGGATAGGAGGCTGGGGAGAAGGATTCCTGAACATTAGACTTTCCCTAGCCGGGTCAAGGACTGAGTGGCAGCATGCTGGTGAAGATTTAAGACAGTGCGGGGCCATCTTGTTACTCTGGGGCTGGAAGCTGTCAGCAAACCTGGCTGCGGCAGAGACAGCACTCGGGAGGAGACGGCCTTCAGAGAGGACCTCACATATGCAGTAAGAAGGAGGTCCTGGTCAAGGCTCTCAACCATCCCTTCTGCAGGGGCCACAGCCCACAAGCCAGCCTTTCTGGGTGGCTTCCCTGGGTTAACTTTCCTCTTCAGGTGGCTCTTGATTCCTTAAAGGTTCTCAAAACTTCCACCCCTGATCCCCTGGCCTTGGAAACAATGAAGTAAATAAGTGGAATTAATCTCATGTGTTTTGTTTTGCTCAAGACACTACGGGAGTGCCAGATCACCCAGTGGAGGTCAGTGTCCATCAGTTAAATTGTTCGTAAATACACCGCTGGTCTGAAAGAGAAGCATCTGTCCTAGAACCATGATCTGATCTGCTCACTGGTGATGGGCCTTGGCTACTTGACCATCATTAAGCAGGCTGGGAAGAGCCTAGCTGTTAGCAGGCTGCAGCCTAGACCTTGCTCTGCAAGTGCAGCATCAGAGATGCTGGGCCCCTTCATCCTCCTCCCTGCATGTCCCCAGATCCTCACTCCTTGCACTCCCCCCTTTTCCTTTCTTCTCTCTCTTTCCCTCCCCCATTCTTCTAGTCATCACCATGGCATCACAGCAGAGCAGAAACTCAACGATTCACCCACCTCTTCCCTGCTTGCCTGCTTGGGAGCCCAAGCTCCCGCCTCACAAAGCTCACTACACCCTTCCATTCCCCATTGCAGCCTATCTTCCTGCTCACAGAGGTGGTGGCAGCACAGGGTTGTGCCAAGAGTGAGGAGAATGAGTTCAAGTACCAATGGGACTGCTATGTCTCCCTTCTGTGACCACAAGCCTTTCCATTCTCCACTTTCACCCTCATTCTCTCTGACCATACATTAGGACAGCTCCGCTCAGACCTTAGGACTTCCCATTGCTCGTCAAGATCCACCAAAGCCTCAGCCACCAGCTCAGCAGGGAAATCAAGAATGGTACCCTGTAACCCTGCTCCAGCATCTCCTCCTCCTGCATATATCTTAGCAGCTATCACGGTTTGCCTAGTAGCTGAGGTCTAGGGGTAGCGATCTTTCCTTAGACAGCTCATGGAGAAGCTGGTTACCCTGGGACAGGAGACTGCCCCAGTGAGACAAGGGGCACTGGGCCAATGGGGTGGAGCTGCGGATAGATGTGCACTGTAGGAAGAGGTAAGCCCTCTCCACTGGCACTAAGCACCCCTAAGGTGCAGGTCTTCATGAACTGACTGCCCCCTCTCCAGACATCTGTCTTAGAAGTGGCATCTGCAAGAATCAGAGCCCCTGGCTTCAACGCATCCTTACTGGACACACATGTGCATTAGTATCCTTGTATTGCCAGAGACCCTTGCATTGACTGTGACCTGCCTTGCGAAAGCCAACTATACTAAAAAGACAGGGTGGTCCCTCTGGGGTCCCTGCATGCCAGGACCATACTCTCTGGGTGATGTGGCTGTCCATGTGCTTATTTTCTCCAAAGAGTGATGGGGCTCTTTGCCTGGTCTCCTGCTGGCTTCGGGCCAACACCCACCTTGGCATCCGGCTTGTCCATCTGCCCAGCAGCCTCATTCAATCCATCTTGGGGGGGGGCTGAAGGTGGATGGGGGAGGTGGGATTCAGGGTGCCCTGAAGGAGGAGAGAAGGAGGTGTCCCCAAAAGTATGTACATGGGGTCATCCTTCAACGGGGTGCTGGTGGCAAGGGCTGCCTCCTGCCCCTCCCCTTCTGCTTTAGGGTGCTGAGGGATCTGCTAACTACAAGGCCATCTAATCTCTCCTGAACTCTAGTTTGAGTTTCCTAAGAAGGTCTCCATCTCTTCCGCCAACTGAAGCCCAGAAAAGCATCAGATAAATCCACTGAAAACCAGCAGGTCGTGTTTGGAGCAGCCAATGCCCACTGCTACAGAGCCCTCTTGGCCTCTAGACCCCTCCCTGCCCACCTCCCCTCTCAAGAGTCCACCCCATTTCTATCTCATCCTTGTCCCTGCCCTGTCCCAGAGGACCCTGCTGCTTCTGCACCCAGCTCAACACAGCCCCTCCCAAACCTTTCCAAATGTACTCACCATGGGATTTGAGAGGGGTCTGTGGGGTCCTCTGCTTCACTGCCTCTCCGGGGGGCCTGCAGCGTCTCCTGGGACCCAAACACCTGGCTCCCGGGGGGAGCTGCGCCCTGTGCTGGCAGCGGGAGAGGCACAGCCAGTGATTGGCATGTCCCACCCCCTGGCACGCCAGCCTTGGGGGGGAGGGAGGAAGGGAAAGAGAGGGAGGGAGGCAAGGGAGGAAAGAAAGGGAGGGGGAGCAGGAGGGAAGCCTCAGGCAGCATCTGGGGTTGGACTAAGTCCTGGAGTGTGCCCCCCTTGTCCACAAGGACATCCACTTTGAGCTTTAAGAGGGAGGAGGCAGGACATGAGGAAGGAGAGCCCAGGAAGGCTAAAAGTCCAGGAGGAGAGAGAAGGCGGATACAGAGAGACAAACACCCACACCCACTGCACACAGACTGGCGGCACGTGCACACACACACACACACACACACACACACACACACACACACACAAAGGCACACTCTGTTTCCCGGGTTCCTTCCCCCACCCAACCGGAAAGCCCCCAACTCCTGTGCACCATGTCCCAACACACATGCCCCGTTATTCACATGCCTGCTTCCTTTGCACACATGCCCTCCCCCCATGAACATGCCCACGCACCCACCCACCCACCCAGCCACACACCCTGCTCTTCCTCCCTGCTGTGAGGGAGCTAGATTCCTTCTGTTTGAAAATGACACATTGGGCCTCACGTGAGAGGTTCCAACTTGGAACAGACCCAGAGGGCTGGCGCACCCGCCCCGGGGCTGAGCGACATGCCCACATGCTGGGCAGTGTGCTCTAGAGTCTGCAGAGCTCCGGTGTCAGGGTATATGGGTGTCTGGTTTGTGGGGGTGGGGGCCCTGTGTTTGTTCCCTATGCTGTTTAGTGTCCGGCACGTGTGCATCCCTGTGTGCACCATTCAGCCTAAGTAAATACAGGTGTGACCCTGCCAGTCGAGCCAGAACGCATGTGCATGCGTGTGTCTGTACTCAGTTTGTGTCTCAGTGTTGCCCAACTGTGGAATTGGCTAATTCTGACAAACGAGGCAGCATCGACCTCCTTGCCTGCTCCACCCCCCCTCCGCTTCCCCTTGGGAGACAGACAGACAGGCAGACAGACAGTTCTCCTCCCAGTTTGTCAAACTCTGTCTCCCCCGACTCCCACTCTAGGTTCACAGGTGTGTACTGGGAAGTGTGAACCACTCCTCCGCTCCACAGTTGGGCCAGCAGCCCTCCCCCAGTCCGACTTGGATTTCTGTTGAGTTTCTTTAGAGACAGAGACCTGTGTGGGGTACTCTTTGTTACAGAGACCTGGTGTAGCAGCGCGCCAATGAAGACCCCTGGAGAGTTCGTCCTAGCGGAGAGTTGGGAAAGCTACAAACGCCGGGGTTCTTTGCCTGATGGGCTTCGATGAAGTCGTGGGTGGGAGGTGGGGAGGACAGAAATTAAGATCACCTTTATACAGGGGAGAAATGAGGAAGCTGAATACTGGGTGAGCCAGTTTGAAGTTAGGTCCTGGGGAATCTAAGCTCAGGGTTTTGGAGTCTGGGGCACAGGTAGAGTTGGGGCCCCGCTCCATCCTTCCTCCGTAGTTCATTTTCCCACCAAGCTATCCCAGAGTTGAGCTTGGAGCCCAGGTGGAAGCCAGGGAAGGAAGACACTGGCGTTCCTAGGGCGTGGGCCAGCAACCACGGGTCACAGGTGGCAGGTACTTGCAGGGACGTCAATAATTTTGAGAAGCCAGGGGGCCAAGAGGCACCCAGTGTGCCTTCTTTCTGTGTTTGGTCGGGTACTACGGCTGGGGGTGGGGTGGGCGGCAGGATCCGAGCAACCCTTCTGCTCTTGGGGGTCATTAAACCCCCAGGGTTAGGTCAGACCCCAAGGAGTCCCTGCGGTGGGCTGCCCCCTGCTGGCTGTCCTTAGGTTGCGGGCTGCGGGTTGGGAGAACAGTGGGGGTGCGTGTACTTGTGCGTGTACACGTGGTTTACAATGGGGGAGTTAGGCCTCCACAGCCATTTCCGAGTCTGAATCAAGCTTCCTCTTTGCCCCCTCCCCCCAATCTTCTCGGTCTCCCTTTTCTCCCACCGCCTCTGCACATGTCCCTTTAGAAATAAAAACACTTATTTTGTGGGCGGGAGGGGAGGGTGTCCAGCTTTTCCCCTGCCTCCTCTTGAGTGGCCCCCACCTTTGGCCCACGCAGCTTCTTGAGTTTATGCAGCTTCAGAAGGGGGCTACAGCCCGGTCCCTCCCGTTGTTATATCACGCTTTTTTGGTGCTCATGCCTACCTTGGCTAGATCTCACCTTACCAGTTGGGGAAACTGAGGCACAAGGGAAGAAGGGAGGCAGCGCGGGGAGAAGCGCTCCCGCCCGGCTCGCTCACCACCCCCGCACTCGAGCCGGATTTAGCCGCAGGGAGGCTGGGAACATTGTCTTTATTTTAAGCCGCCGAGTGCGGCACGAACGCGGCTGCTCCCGACAAAGGGCTTCGCTCAGCGGCTGCAGGCGGCGCACGTGGGGGGTCTGGCCCCGCCCCCGCGTGACCCCCTCTCCAGCAGCCCTGACCCTCTTCAGCTTTCCTTTCTGTTCAGGTTGGGGCGGGGCCTATGCAGGACTCCGGGTCTGCGCTACTGCTGGTTGCTATTTTTGATCAGCTTTGGATGACTCGGCCCAATCATAAATGCTTCCAAGTAGAAAAAGAGCGAATTTGTTGTCCTGGGTTCGAATCCAACTTTAGGTTGGTTCGTTCGAATTGCCCGGCAAGTTAAAGCTTGTCTCTAGGTCTGTTTCATCAGCGACATAGAAGTAGGAAGACCTCCCATGATGGGGTAGTGACATTAAACGGTGGCCCCCACAGCGTCTGAAAGAGAGAGCCATTATTGTTATCTATAATAGGCATCGAGCGCTCACTCCCGCCGCAGGGCGTTGCTAAGCGCCTTACATGATTTTAACCGGTCGCTCACTGTATCGTGTGCTAGGCTTTATTACTCCCATTTTACAGATCGAATAGATTCACAAAACGGCAGGTGCCTCGGGTTTTGGGCGGCTTCTGTGTGCCCGGACAATCCTGGAGCGGGAACCCGGTAGCAGCTCCCCAGCTGTAGTTTGAAGGAAGGTAGAACTAGTAATTTCCTTAAAAGAATTTAAAATTCGGGGGCTCAGTGGTTAAGAGCACTCGCCGTTCCTCCAGAGGACTCGTGTTCAATTCTCAGGAACCCCATGGCAGCTCACACCTGTCTGTAGCTCCAGTTCCAGGGGACCTGATACCTTCCCACCAATGACATAGAATGAAGTTGAATAAATTAAAAACTCTATTATTTCGTATGGTATGGGCCACGTGTCTGTGAGGTCAGAGGATACACTTGCAGGAGTCGGTCCTCTCCCTCCACTGTGTGGGTCCTGAGGATTCAACTCAGATGCATCAGGTTGGAGGCAAGCGCCTCCCATCCTTTCAGGTCAGGATAGTTTTGTTTTCAAAGGCCCCAGTGGTGTGGGGAGTGTTTAAATCCCCACCTTCGGCTTCAGCCTTGGGCAGAATCTCCAATCTCGCTAAATCTTTCACTTCAGGGTGCCTCTTACATCGCGCTAAAGGACGGAGGCCTGGGAAGGGAGGTCCATTTTCCTGTTTTACCCGGACTGTGCTGTGCAGGGCGTCAGAGGTGTCACCACTCAGGAAGGCAGCCAGACGACCCGACAGCCGCCTCCTCACTTCAGCCCGCCTCAAGTCTTTAGTCTTAATCTTCCCGGACCTTTCTCTCCACCCCAACAGACTACTTTCTAGATTTAAAAGGCAAAGCTACAATCCAAGGTTGGACTGCAGATGGGCCAGGCCAGACGCAGCCATGACAAAATTATGAGCCAAGAAATCGAGGTTTTACAGTCTGGTTCTTAAGATAAACGAACTCAGACACAGTTCTAGTCAATCAGTGTTTCCCCTTCCGAGCCCGTTTAGTCCGGCTCCCAGCAAGGGGATGGCCGGAAAGCAGTCACTTACAGCCGGGAGCCGTTTGGGATATGGGTCCAGGAGAGTACTTCCTGGCCCTATGGGGCCCCTCGGTTTAGGTTGCAAAGTTTAGGTTGCACTTGGGGTCTGGCTTGGGATTCGAGTACTGGGAACTGAGATAATCTCAGACTGAGCCTCAGAACTGTGCTCTCAAAAGGCGTTTCTAAACACCTGGTTTCTGCTGCGAGGACAGGACTCAGCTCAGGTCACTCGTGGCTGTCTTGGAATGGACCGCACTCTAGAAGCGTGGTCCGGATCCAGGGAAGAGGCAGCTGACCTGCGCAGAGTCTTCTGCTATACTCTTCATAGCCAAAAACAGCTCGGAAACTGATTAATCTTTGCTCCGTTACTGGACACAGGCTACCACCATGGGGGGTAGATGCATCCTGGCTCAGATCTAGCTTCACGTGAAACTACTGCTTAGGAGTGTGATGGGTCTCCAAAAAATTTCCTTTCGTGTGTGTGTGTGTGTGTGTGTGTGTGTGTGTGTGTGTGTTCCTCTGCCCTGCTCCTGTTCCCTCCCTTTCGCGTTTCCCTTAAGAATCCAATGTGTAGATTAAGTCCCACGTGTAATTTAAAACGCAAAATCCATGACAGTGAAGGACCCAAAGGTCAGCAAGAGCCTAGGTCCTGTGCAGACTGATCAGGTACATCAGTGAAATGGGTGGAGCCTGTGCAAGGTTGGACAGCTGCTTCAGAGGAGAGCCAGCGGCCCTCCATCCCTCCCCGCATCCAGTGTCAGGGTACCCAGAGTGCCTGGGCGGCTGCCTGGGTGGGGTGCCCTGCACCCATTGTTGGAAAACAGTAATACCTGTCCTTGGTGGAGGTGTATAAGGAGTGGTATTGTCACTATCACCCAGAAGGTGGGAGGAGCTGGCTGCAAGTGTACTGGCTATACAGTTAGTCATAAACCCTAGCTTTGTATGTGTGTATGTGTGTGTGTGTGTATGTATGTGTGTGTGTGTGTCTCCTCGAAGTTACAGGCACACTGGAGCCAGGGCACCCGTGGTGCCAGAGACGAAAGTCAGGTTGTAAGGGGTGGCCACAAGCACCTTTACCCATGGAGTCCTGTCTCTAGCTCCACATTCATAAACTCCTCACTACATTTTCTCACTTAATCTTCACAACAGCACCATGACGCAGGACGATTTCGTTCCTATTTTGCTGATAGAAAACAGACCTGGAGAGGTTAGGTTAATTCAATCTGCTGCCTTTACCCCTTCACAGTTTGTGGTTTTTGCCTCCAGCTTGGATCCTAACTAGCTGAAAGTCCTCCACACCATTTGTAAAAAGAAAAGCCATTTCAGGAAACCTAAGGCAAAGGCTCTACTGTCCATCATTCTGCAGGAATAATAATAGTGGCAACAACAATGATGATTATTATTTTGAGACAAGATCTCACGCATCCCAGGCTGGTGTAAAACTTGCACTGTAACTTAGAATGATCTTGAATTTCTCATCCTTTTGCCTGCAGTGATTACAAGAGGACAGTCACCACACTGGTTTTATACGGTGCATAAGGTAGAACCCA